AGCCTTCTCGACGAGTTTCTTCACAAACATCTTGACAAATGCGAAAGCTCCACTCTCTGAGAATCTGAGTGAACGAGAACTGAGATCAGTAGAGAAGACTGAAAATGGAAGATGAAATCCGCTTTGTGATAACCGAAGAATGTTGATTTGTCTTAATTATATATATATATATATATATGATGAAGTTTCTTTTGAGCAGAGAGGCGAAAATGGGGGGTGGGGCAGAGAGGAGCCAAGCGGTTTTTTCAAAAACAACAAATGGAAGGTTTGGATCATCTGAAGGTGACACGTGGACGCTCATCAAATGAGTCCTGAAAACTAACACTCCCTGACCAGTGAAATAACGCCACGTTTCTTTCGGTGGACCTATTTCCCGCCCTTTGGATTCTGTTGACCATGACTAACTAGTTTCTTCTTACTTTCTTTTCAACTATATTATTTATTTTTTCTTTTTTAAAACTAATCACTTCAAAGAATATTATGATTAGATTAGCATCTTTGTATTTATTTAGTTTTTTAATATAGCCAAAAAGTATATATATATTATTTTTTAATTTAAGATTACATACTGGACGATGTGTAACGGTCCCACCAAATCCATCTCCTTTCAAGGCCTAGCGTGCACATCGCCTCATGTCTATCCCCTTTAGGGAACAACCTCCTCGCTAACACATTGCTCGGTGTTTAGCTCTGATACCATTGTAATGCTCTAAGCCCACCGTTAGTAGATATTGTCATTTTTTAGCTTTCTTTTTTGGGCTTCCCCTCAAGCCTTTAAAACGCGTCTATTACGGAAAGGTTTTCATACTCTTATAAGGAGTGTTTCATTACCAACGTGGGATATCACAAAATGTGTCTAGTAAGTATTAAATTAATAAACATAAATCCATAGCTTGTAGAATCAATCTTGATACCCTATATTTGCATATGACCGAATGTAGACCCTAGTTTGTGTTAGGTTTTGTTATTCGGGATGTTGGATTGTTTTAGTGGTATGACACACTTAGTCAGAACATCCCTATTGTCAAGTGCTGTCTGTTTATTTGATTTAGTCATACCAAGTAGAAGTTGTTAGTGGTGGGTTGTTTTTCTATAAAATTATTTAATAGCCAATTTCATTCTTCAGTACATTAGATTTCTCCCCATTTTTCTGATGTTTTCTTTTTCTTTCTCCACTGTTTGGAGCAAACTAATATTAATCCTGAGTGTCAATCTCAATCTCTTTCTCGTCTCATTTTTTACTATTTAACCTTGATTATCTTTTAACCCTACTAAAATTCCAACTAGAAATTCAACACATTTCGTATGAATTAGGATTTAAATATTGATATCATTACATACGTTAAAATCGCGTTTTTAGGAGGAATATAGTTTTCTTTTCTTTTCCTTAATTTAAAACATAAAATTTTTAATACATTCATTTTAAATGAAATGGAAAAAAAAAAAGTTTAAAATAATTTCTCAAATTTCAAATAAAAGAATTTAAAATCAGATTTGCCACAAACAAAGAGGGGCTCACATGCTTGTCTATAGACCCAAATTATCTGGGTTGGGCCGAATCGAACATTTTGTTTATTTTACTTTTCTACAAATTATTATTCATTAATTACCAATTAATTCTTTTAAGTTAATTTATAAAAGTACTCTTTTGGTTAGGCATATATTTATTTAATATTAAATTATTTATTCTCCAACCCCTCTTAATTTTTTTTAAAATTATTCAAATATTTGAAAATAAATAATATTTTACTTATTAACATCTCATTTTTATTAAAAATAAAAATTTGAATAAATGACCTTAGCAACCCAAACCGACCCAACTCAAATATTTGAAAAAATTTACAAAATAATTTAACATAATTTTTTTTATATCATAAATAATTATTAAATAAGACGTCTTACATTTATTTTATCTTCGTGTTGTCAATTGTCTGATATTTATGAACTCTTAATTCATACGAGAAATGGGAGAGAAAGGGCACATGGGGGATAGAATATTAGTTATCAAAAAATGAAATCAATCAGTAGTCACAACTAATATAATGTATAAAACATTGGTCCCCATGGCCCCAAAATGCAAAGCAAAAACGAGGGACTAAACTGCAAAAAGATATAAATTGAGGGAGTAGAGTGCAAAGAAAGGATAATTGCACATATGCTGGCTTTGGGTGTCATCATAGTCTTAATTTTCTTCTTCTTATTGAAGTCCCACATGACAACACAACATGTTGGTCCTCTCACCATCATATCATTATATCACCTTCCCCTTTACAACCTAAACCCTAAACCTAACCTCTTTTTCTATCCATTCCTTTTCTTTTGTCCCGACTAAACTCTACGTTCTCCTTATAATATCTCTATCGATATTTATGTTTATTTATTGTATAGCGAGGTCCGTTTGTACGATATGTAAACTATTTTCGTTATCGGTATGCTCTCGTGTATACTCAAACTGATGCAAAGACATAAATAAAGGAAGACGAGTCTGTCTCAAAACAAAAATTGGTTTTGATTCTTGTAACTGTCTGAATTTCGAACAAATAAAAGAAAATTGAAATTTGATAACCATCTGGGTTTATTTTTTCATGTTCGATGACTTTTGTTATGGATAAAATTGGACAAAAAATACAAGCCGAAGCTTAAGCTCACTGCTAACAGATATTGTCTACTTTAACCCGTTATGTATCGTCGTCAGCCTCATGGTTTTAAAATGCGTCTATTAAGAAGATGTTTCCAGACCCTTATAAACTTTTGTTTCCCACTCTAACTGATATGAGATCTCACAACCACATAGAAAAAATATAGCTGGGGACTAATTCAGGTCAATACATAAGGACATGGTGGAATTTGGGCTAAAAGCGGATTAAAACTCCTTTATCTCGGCTTAGGTGGTTGGGGTTGACCTCTCGCTCGTGCTCTCGGCAGCATGGCATCTTGGTTCAATCCGGTATCGACTAATTAAAGTATTAATTTTTAATAAAAAATTTCAAAATTTCATTTTCATTAAAAAAAAAAAAAAAGTCCAAATTTTCATGTTTTTTTTAATTAATCTAAGTTAAATAATAATAAAAAAAATTATTTGTAGTATCATATCAATGTAATAAAAAAATCACATAAAAATGTGATGATGAAGATTAGAATAAAGTTGATAGCTGTGAACCTTTCTAAAATTTAGAAATGGTATTATTCAATTAAAAAGGCATTTTTTTTTTTTACTTTTTATTATTTTTTTCTTTGCTCCAAATTCTTTCCTTCAGTGCTGATTCCGATTCATAACTCCAGAGGCATCTGTACGGTGTCGTTTAGATTCTCGTAGAAAAGGTATGTACTATTTACACTTTTGGGAACTAAAAAAATCCTACCTATAAATAATCGCATTAATTTCATTTTAAATAATATAGTTTCAAATCTTTAATTATAATGAAAATTTACATCTAAAAAATATATTTTAATTTTTTTTTACAGTAAATAGAGATTAAATGTTTAAAAAATTAATAATAAACTAATAAATAGTTTGGATATAAAAAAAAATAATTATATTTTAAATCTATTTTATAATAACAAACATTAAAAAAAAAATAGAGAAAAAAATGTCAGACTGGAAGCAGATATTTTACGTTGGTATTTATTTATTAATAAAAAAAAAGGATATTTTAGAAATATTATTTACATTCCATTGACAAGAGAAAGGGATGGAAAAGGAACGCGCGTAGAGTAGCGCGTGAGGAGAAAGCACGGAAAATGGAAATGGGAGTGTGGTGCGTAAAAGGCAGCGGGAAGCGACTGCGTGTGAGCTGTTCCTTACGTGATCCAACAAATCATTTCACGTTGTTGCGACCCCATCGCGTCAAACCAACTGTATTTCTTCCCCTTTTTCCTCTCTTTTTTTTGTCTCCCGTTTCTTCAAACAAAATACATTTTTAACGAACTCGTTTTAAAATTGTGAGGCCGACGACGATATGTAACGAGTCAAAACGGACATATTTATTAGCAGTAACCTTGAGATTCTACAAATGGTATCAGAGTTAGACACTAAACGGTGTGCCAGCAATGATATTGGGTCTCTGCGTGATAGATTGTTAGATCCCACGTTGGTTAGACAGAGAAACGAAACGTTTAAGATGTGTAAACTTTTCCCTAATAAATATGTTTTACATCCGTGAGGCTGATGGTGAGCTTAGATTGTTACACTCACGTACCTCCTATGTAAATATTAAAATGTATATGAATTTCTAATTTAGTCTTCGTTGTATCCCATATTGACTGAACAGAGAATGAAACGTTCAAAGTATGTAAACTTTTTTCTAATAAATGTGTTTTACAACCGTGAGGCTGATGGGGGACTTAGGTTGTTACACTCACGTACCTCGTATGAAAATATTAAATATTAAAATATATATGAATTTCTAATTTAGTATTCGTGGTCGATTTTGTATGAATTGAACTATACTCATGTTGATAATTTTATCAATTTTATTTTACTTAATAATTAATTGAAATTAGAAAATATTGATTTTATTAAGAAAATATATCTTAAGTATGGATTAAAAAAAATAATTTTAATTATAATTTCACATTATAAAATTATAAAATATTTTAATGATGGACCCTTTAGTTGACATGTAATTAACTAAAAAAAATCGATGGAAATTAAGAATATATATTAAAAAATTATAATATATCGTAAATAAAAATAATAAAATAGAATTTATGCCACGTACTTAAAAACAAATAGAAAAATTCAGGGGAAAATAGGAATTTATTAGCGGAAAGAAAAAAAGTTTTAATTGGGGGAGAGTGGGACCAGGCCTTGGAAAAGGCATAATATGCCACGTACTTTACCGCTCATTATTGTTACTATTAATATTTTGGTTTTATTTTTATGTAAAAAAGAAAAATAGTTTTGGCAATTTTATAATCATTTTACTATTATTATTATTATTATTATTTAATTATTACGAGAAATTTGATGGCTTTCAATTCCTACTTTTTGCGTCGACACATTTCTATTCATGATTGCATCCAACGCGCGACGCCATTTCTATTTTCTTCTTCATTACCAAATTTTCCAGTAAATACCTCGGTTGTTTAACTGCATTCCTAAACTCGCCGCCTCACTCCTTGCCGGCGCCCTTCTCCGTTCAACTGCAGCGTCGCTATTTCTTCCTCCATTCTCACTGGTGCGATCTCCATTCCACAGCTTTCTTTCTTTTTTTCTTTGTCTTCTTCCTTTCTCTGAATTTCAATTGTTCCTCGTTTTTCTTTTGTTCGATTACTTCGTTGAATTTCAATTGAGCTGATTGGTTGACGAAGCAGGTTCTGATTCTGACATTGCGCTTTGTTTTCTGTTTTGAGACTGAATTTTGCGTTCTGATCATGGACTTGAATTGTTGAGGTCGGATATATGCAAGTTTCACCGCTCTGGATAACCTTTTTGTGTTCCTGTTTCTGATTGTGTGAAGTCGTTGATTGTCAAGTTATGTTGTAGGTGGCTGGTTTTGAAAATTTGACAAATTAAAGTGATGAATTAGTCCTGTTTTTCATTTGACTTCTAGCTTGCTATGCTCTGTAGTCTGTACCACGAATTTCCTTGAAGCCTTTCAAAAAATATGATATCTGGCCTCTTCTTCCTACAATGGATCTTGCTGTAGTCTTCTATTGTCTTTCTCCCATTTCTGGAACAGTTGTGCTTGCTGTGCTCCCTCGTGGTCTTTCTGTACACAACGGAGCCATTGACTTTCTCCTTCCGGATGAGAAGAGATTCTGTTTTTTAAATAAATAATGAATTATTGTCAATTTCCATTTAGGGTATACTGTTGATTCTGTTGCTCATATTCATACACGATACTAATTTCTCCAGGATATGGTTTGAATGTTTATCGCCTCTTGTTGTTTCTTGGAAGGATGTTTAAGAACTTATCGCTATAAAACAGATAACGTAACCAGAGTCCTATTGCCGCAAAAGACACTGCTAATTAGCGAATAGCATAATATATTCCCTGGTCATTAATTTAGAATGCTGTTTGTGTGCTCGGAGTGTATGGTTCCATCGATGATATTTATTTTTGTTGGTTGCAGTTTGCCAGTTTACAAACTTCGTGACTTATCTTTTTGCCTAATTTTCTTCTTTTCTTTTTCAAGGTAAACAAGGATATTGAGATCGATTTATACCAAGTATGAAAGAACCAAAAAAAAAGATAGTGTCCTGGTAGTTCCACAAGCTGCATGGGTGGCTTATTATATCCTTTTGACTTCGACCGCAGGAGCATGGCCAAGAAAATCTTTAATCAAAAGAGACGTAATGGTGGTATGATTGATGTTATTATGCTCTTTGTTATGAGAAGAACATGTTCTGCGAGTTCTGCTTGAATAGCCATTTTCCATTATAATGTAATTGACATTAAGTTGAGATTTTGAAATATTTTCATAATATTGGAATATGAAGTTAGTAGGAGCGGTAGTGACTAGAAAATTTGTTTTTGGAAAGCCGAGCTTACATTAGAATACTGATATACGTACAGAAGCTTTCTTATCAGTCTCTTGTTGCTCATGTACATATGCCCGCATACGGAAGTGTAGCATCCCAATATATATATATATATATATTTTTAATAAACCAGATTTTGTAATGAATGTTAAAACTTTTTACCAGTCTATCATGTACAAGGACACCATTTGATTAGAAACCAATCACTGCATAAATCTGATTATTTGAAGTAATTTTATCTAAATTGAATTCGCATTTTCTGCAGGCCTGGAAACCCCTCGAAATAGCCTGGAGCTACAGATGGAGAGTTCTCAAAGTTATTGTACTGCAGAAGAAATACCGGTAAATCTACAATTTTCTGGCTTTATACTAGCTAAACGACTATTCACGTCGAAGTACCTTGTTATTAGTTTTCTGACTTTTGAGAGCACAACACTAATACAAACTGAAGCTTTCACCCCAATGCAAACTGAAACAAGTCTGTCTATATAATTGGATCGTCTAAGTTCGAGATATCGATCTTTGAACCGTCTGGAAAATTCGTTCTGTTTGATCTTCTATTTCTATCTCAGTTAACATCATATGCTGATTTTTTTTTTTTAAATTTTGTATCCGTAAGATCTTTTTCCAGTCTAAAATTTTGTTACATCATGGTTAAGATACGAATTAGAAAGAAAAAAGATTCATGCTTCTTTCTTTTGGCAACAACCGAACCAAATTTTGTATCAACCTATCACTCTTATGTATCAATGGTCAAAACTGCCACCAAAAAATTGTATGGAATGATATTAACTATGCCCATAATCTCTTAGTTGATAAATTGATATCAAAAGGCCTTGAAATTAATTGACCTGTGCTATAACCGCTCATGTATACTTGTCTAGGGTCTCAACAGCCTATATCACGAAAATTATATAAGAAAAGGGCAAAGTCAATCTTGGCCCTCCTGTTAATTACTAAGTTAAAGATCACAAAAGAAATATATGCAGGTGAATCCCTGTTACTATACCACATCCTCATTGGAGTATTTTCTACAAATAGTTTCACTTTCTCATTCTCAAGTCAACTTCTACTTCTGAAAATGAACTTCTTTTCAACAGTCTGTCCTCTAGTTTTCTCATATTATTTTCTAATGATCTTATTCCCCAATATCAATATACTTTCCATGCGTGTTCATTTCCACATTGTTTCCGTTGCTCTCTCTAATTGCCAGTTTCTTGTGACCGCTGCTGAATTTTCAGTACTCCTATCAAATCGATGAAGTGTTTTCTGACAAGGACTATTTAAAGAATGAGACTTCAATGAAGAAATTAATTGATAAGGAAATGTCCACGCGCACGAGTGCCAAACATCATGGACCAAGCATTGTTGCTCGACTCATGGGGATGGATATGTTGCCCTTGGATGCAAAAAATGAAGTTGAGCTCAGTGACAAGAGGCACAATAGCAAGGGAGTTAAGACTTCAAGTAATGAAATTAATGGCAGGGGCTTGCATTCTTATGCATCCTCCAAATCAAATTCTTGTAAGCAGATGGACGTGCACTCATCTTATCATGATAATGACAAGGATGCTGATCGATGGAGGAGTACCAGTCAGAAGATGGGAGGACCTCACCGTCGGGAACATCCTCAGGAGGAGGAATTACAGAAGTTCAAGAAGGAATTTGAAGCATGGCAGGCTGCAAGGTTTAGGGAGTGTTCAAGGGTTATTGAAGCTAGCAGCATCAACAGACAGTCGCTTGCTCAGGGCGACGCCAAGGAGATGGAACTAAATGTAAACAGAAGGAAAATATCGAGCCCAAAGCTCTCAGCAGAACCTAAAGGTCCGACAGTGGGTATGAAATCATATAGAAGAGTTGATCTGGATGGTGGTATTAAGAGAGAAACATTTCCTGGTGAGCAGAGGGGACCCTTCTCTTTGAGAAGCAAATCCATGGATGCAGATTTTGAGCATCCTTGCCTGATAAGTAGCGATCAGAAAGACAAATTGCTTGGCCCAACAAAGATTGTGATTTTGAAGCCTGGTCCTGATAAGATGTGCCTCCATGAAGAGCATTGGACAAATTCCTCAGGGACCTTAGGAGAAAGAGTTAGTATTGAAGATTTTCTTGAAGAGGTCAAGGAGCGGCTGAGATGCGAATTGCAAGGGAAAACTACTAAAAAAGGCTCTGCTGCTCGAGGAAGTGGGATAGAGACACCATATAGTGAGAAGTCATCTCACTCAAGACAAATAGCTCAGAACATAGCAACACAGGTCAGAGACAGTGTCACAAGAGACATTGGATTCAATTTACTTCGTTCAGAATCCACGAGATCATACAATAGCGGAGTTCAATTTAATGGGTTGGGTTCCCCAGAATTCATGAACAAAGATACCAGAAGATTCTTGTCAGGAAGACTGAGAAATGTTCGACGGAAAGATTCAGACTTAGATAGTGGCAGCTCTAGATCATCTGCAAGTGATCATGAAAGAGTTACGAAGCAAGTAGAAACTATTTTGACAAATGGAAAACATACAAACTACTGGGAAGTACTAAGAGATGCAGAAGAAATACACAGTAGGTCTTTCAGGCATGAGGCAGATGAGGTTCTCCCCAAAGAATTGTCACCTAGGAATCTCTCCAGATCATTATCAGCTCCAGTGTCAGGAACATCGTTTGGGAAGCTTCTTCTGGAGGACCGCCATATTTTAACTGGCGTCCACATTCAGAGAAAACATGAAGCAAGTGATCATGTGGCGGTGAATCTCAAAAAGCAGAAGAAAGAGAGGTTTAATTTTAAAGAAAAGGTTTCCAATTTCAGATATAATTTCACTCTTAGAGGGAGGCTGTTCGGAAGAAAAACTCAATCGATTAGCGGATTGGATACTGCTGACCTATACTCTACCAAAGACATCCTGAGTGGACCAACTGTTGTAATGAACTCTGGGGAGCGCCATGAAAGGGTATAATAACTCAACTATTTCAATTCTGGTTCCACACTTTTATCTTCACTAATCATTTTTTCTTCATTGTCCCAGGAGAATTTCACTGAGGTGCCTCCTAGTCCTGCTTCTGTGTGCAGCAGCGCCCAAGAAGAGTTCTGGAAGTTATCTGATCATCACAGCCCAATATCAACTTCAGATGTGACTCCTAGAGATGAGAACTGTGTTTCCCAGGTCTTTAGGGAGATCAGCTCTAACTTGAAAGGTACGTGGAATTGCTTTTAAGCACGATCAATTTTACACTTCGTACTGTTATCAATGTCGTTTGTAGATAAATCTTTTTACTTCTATGGATTTGTTTATTTTGAGAGTTTATCATTAACATGCCTTTGAATACAGTGGCTATTGCCTTTTTAGTTACTTACATCTCAAGTCTGCTCGTCAAAATACTTCCTTAAAATGTTTGTCTGCTTCGGCTTGTGTATATTGGTTGATTTACAGATTTCTAAAAAATTATGGTATACATATCAACATTATGTATAAACTGCTTAACGTGAAAATTATCATACATATAGAAATATAATTATAGAAGACGGCAACCCGACATGACTAGCTAAAACATGTTATTCGTCAAGAGCATCACTCGACTAGTTACAGCATTCAAACCACTGTGAATTCTGAAAAAAAGAAAAGAAATGATGTGTCATTCTTTCAGTGGTGGACATTTATCAATCAAGTACAAGTATGAAATTGTCATCGAGTTCAAATATTTGATCACTTTTTTGTTTACACTGCAGAACTTCGAAGACAGCTGAGTCAACTTGATTCCGATGATATTGAGGACAAAGTGGAACAGCAGCCAGTTGAGTTTGAAATCACAAAACTTGAAGATCCAGCAGAAGTTTACATACGAGACCTTCTTATTGTTTCTGGCATGTACGATGGATCAACTGATAACAACTTTTCACGAAATAATGCAGCTACAAAGGCTATCAGCAACGCTATTTTTGACGAAGTGGAAGAAGCTTATCGAAAATCAGAGACGAAAAATGAAATCATCGGGAAGGAACAGAACGAAAGTAATGTAGATCACAAACTATTATTTGATCTGTTGAACGAAGCCCTTCCAATCGTACTTGGACCATGCTTAACAACATCCAGATTTAGAACAAAAGTTATCGACTCCTCTACGCCGCTACCGCCTTTGTTCGGAAAAAAACTATTGGATTCTGTATGGGACATCATACGCAAGTTTATACACCCTCCAACTGATAGATCTTATTTCTTGCTCGAGGGGGTGATGGCTCGAGATTTAAATTCAACTCCATGGGCCTCGTTAATGGATGTCGAGATTAACACGACGGGAAGGGAGGTTGAAGGGCTGATCATCAAGGATTTGATTGATGAAGTTGTGAAGGATTTGCGAAAATGATGCAGAGTCTTTAATTCTCAGGACACTGACCTTATGCTACTACACTTAGGAGTGGACAGAAATTGCATGGAAATCAGCTATTCAGGATACACCACGCTTGATATTCACTCGAAATATATTTTCTTTTTTGTATTACTTTTACGTACATATGTCCTTATTGGATGTGTTTAATGCAGATGGGCTTCAACTGAAGGTGTTATTCAGATGTAAATGACACTCTTATCTGATGTTTATATCATAATTTGTAAAGGAAAGTTAACATGATTTTTCTTTATGCAGTTTCTCCACGAATCTTGCCTTCGCCGGCTCTCTTTGTAATAGCCAGCGTCGAAAAGATAAACAGGCTGCCACAAATTTCAATGCTAAATTGCTTCGACAAAATTAAGGTATAACCTTGCGTAAAACTTCTTCATCTATAATTATAAGGACAGATACATATTTATTGCTTCTACCCCCAACTATAAGACATGTTTATGTGATATATAGAATGCGAGTCAACTGTACACTGTATATACACGATCAGACTTGCTGGCACGTATTAAATGTTGCATGATTCTTGATCTCTTAATTTCAGGTTATACAAAATTACAAATCTAACTCCGTAAACTAAACATCCTTTGGCCAATTAGGAACGGAATGGTTTTTTCCGACCAGGTCTATAGAATCAAATGGTTAGACCTTGTTTGATATCAAATGCTTCATTTCACTTAGCCAAGTTAACTAGCCAATTCCAATATAGCAAAAATTGTGTCTGTCTATGATGTTTTATCATGATTCATGGGTTAGGTAGACCATACTACATGTGAAAGCCAAGCAGGAAAACTTGAGCAAACTTCATCAGATTCTTCATTGGGACATTGAAACTAGAACCCTAAAGAGACATTTAGATACACTTAGAGAGAGTGAGTGGTCTTCAAGTAAATATCCATGGACTTGCAAAAGGAAGCTGGATTCATACCGAACCAACTGAAGTAGAATTATAACACAGGAGGTGGACCAGTGACAAATTTTGGACTCAAAACCCACTCTTTGTGGTTGCCATTGTTAGCAAGCTGTTCCCAAGCCTATTGAGCTTTCACATCCAAAAAGAAAGACTCCAAATTCTTAGCCTACACTACTCTAACTTTTCTTTGTCAGTATCCAACGTGTTTGAGAGTGATTTTGAAATGGATAAATTCACTTTCAAACGTGTCGTAAGTTTGTTTCTTCCTATCTGTATCCAGTGATTTTGAAATAGTTAAAATCACTTTCAAACATATTCTAAATCTACTTCTTCCGATCTGTATCTAGTACATTTAAGAGTGATTTTGAATGAAATAGTTAAAATCACGTTCAAACGTGTTCTAAATCTACTTTTTATGATCTGTATCATACGTTAAGAGTGATTTTGAATAAAATAGTTAAAATCACTTTCAAACATGTTCTAACTCTACTTCTTACAGCATTTATTAGTATCTAATACGTTCAAGAGCGATTTTGAAAGGGATACAATCACTTTCAAACGTGTCACATAAGTCTAATCCGTCCCATCCATTTCTATTTTCATGTAAATGGAAAGAATTTTCTTCTCCTCCCTCATTCCCCGTTCTTGTTTTCACACATCCAAAGTACATAATAATATACGTACATGGTTGGCAGCCCCTTGATTTTGACCTGCCCTTACAACACTTCAGTGGTGTAGCACACGCTCTGTCGGCTAATCATTCTTTACTCTCTCTCTTTATTTGATTAACCTAATTTATCTTCTAAACTCATTCTTCTCCTTACACGTGTAAACCATGTATTATATTTTAATCCCATCCCAACAAGTAAACAGTATCAATGATGATTTTGTACATTTATACCGTGATCTAAAAATATAATTTCAGAAGATATCATACCAAAATTTTATTTTTATTTCCTTTGCAAATAAGAAACTAAATATGAGTTATATTCCACCAATAAAGGCAATTAATGATATGATTAAGGCTTTTTGTATTTATCTGCTAATTGCAATTAATTGAAATTAGCAATCTAATTAATTACCCCTCACATGCATATTACATATCAGACAACGACCCCCCTGCATGTGTCCATGTTTGAATTATTATTCTTCTTTTTTTAAATTAATAATTAATTTTAAATTTTAGGGCAGGAAACCAATCCATCTCTGACACAAATGAAAAACAGCCAAAAGCTGCAGAATTTCCGACATCTTCTTTTTATCTCCGCCGTGATGTCCACCGCCGACCGCCGTACCAGATAGCACAAACTTTCGAATAACACGCTGACTGGGTCGGCGGGTATCCTCAGGGTCAGACAGTGCCAGAGAAAACTCATAGCGATCAGGTCTAGTTCACCGATACTTCCGGTTGCTCTTCCAAACCTCTTTTCTAAGGAAAATTAAATTGTGTTTATTTGCTTTCCATTTTAGGTTAAAATATTTTTCACAAAGGAAAAAAAAAAAAAAAAAAAAATCAAATCCAACGTTGAATTTGATAGTGATGCTTTTATTATTATTTTTTTCATTGAATTAATTTTGAAACTATTTAATTTTTTAAAAAAAATTATATTTGGTCACCTACTGAAAATTACTATAAAGTGTATTTTTTTAATGATTTTTTTTCCTGATATTTCTTTTACTTTTCTTATTGTTAACTAATTATTAATTTTAGCATAATTTTTTTCTCCAAAATTTTTATACATATCTTATATATTTAATTAATTATTATTTGTTTGTGGGCTTCCATATATATATATATATGTTTATTTTTTTTAATTATTAGTAAAGTAGTTAAAGCTTAAAAAAATGAGAGGAATCTTCTATAATACTCAACCTCTAGCTTTTAAAATAAATTAAAAAAATATATATATATATACTCAACCTCTAGCTTTTAAACTAAATTAAAAAAAAAATATATATATATATATATTATATAATTTTAATAAAATGAGGAAATTTATAATTTAAGAAAAATATATTATTATTTTAATAATCATTTGTCTCTCTTTATTTTCTGGTTAACCGTCCTGTGTTTTGTGAGCCTCCACTCTCATTTTCCCTCTTTTCTCTTTCTATCTCTAGGAATTCAATAGCGAAGCAGAGATTATGATGGATCCTTACCACCACCACCACCACCACCACCAGAACCCTCCTCTTCGCGACGATCATCTCCGTTACCTTACCGGAACCACCGCTGGCGCTCTCTACGTCAAAGTCATGACCGACGAGCAATTGGAGACTCTTCGCAAGCAAATTGCTGTTTACGCCACCATTTGCGAGCAGCTTGTTGAGATGCACAAGACTCTTACTGCTCACCAGGATCTCAAAGGTGCTGCAATGCTCTTTTCTTTTACTTCTTCTTTCAATTCAATGGATGAATTAGGCTTATTGCTTTAGTACCGGCTTCTGTACTGCAGTCTTGTTGGTTGGAGTATTGATTTTTTTTTTTTTTTTAATGGATTATTGATTGCCTGCTTTCTTCTCGATCGTTTGTATTGAATTTTGATTGCTGTCTTTCTGTTCAATTTGTATGGTGCAAGCTTTCTTGTTTCTTTTTTCTGCTTTGGAAAAGCGTCTGGCCATTTTGAGCTGTTTGTTACCTCGAAAAAGGGCAAACATCTAATGCTGTAAGACTAATGGTTTCCCCTTTTGTGTTGCTATCCATCTTTTTATGGTCCTTTGGGGCGTGGAAGACTGCCCTGCCGTAAAGCATTTATTTCCCTCCTCTTTCATTGTTTGCAGGATGGTTATCTTAATTATGAGGCGCTTTAATAACCGCCGAGTGATCTACTTTTTGCAAAACAGCAGAAAAATTGTTTGTTTTTTCAACTATTTCTCGAGTATTCCTATGACGAAGTGAATCTTTTTTATTTATAATTTTGGAAAATCGTCATCACCGTTAATCAAACGGGTGGGAATGAGATATATTTTCTTTAGCAATTGAATGAGGGGTTCAGTATAACTTTTTGTAAGCTGAATAAGCCAGGTGAAAACTCGACAGTTTTGATAATAATATTCATTCATTGTTCTTGGTTTAAGATTGTTGTGGTGATATGGCTTCGACTTGTAGAAACTGGAAACTGCTTTCTGCTCCTGTATGATCTTGGAGACAATCTGATGAGCCTCCTCTATGCACTTGCTTAAAGCTTGTGTCTTGCTGCTTTGCAGGAATGAGGTTGGGTAGTGTGTACTATGAGCCATTGATGGCATCTTCCAGCCACAAAATTACTTCTAGACAGCGATGGACTCCGTTGCCCGTGCAACTTCAGATCTTGGAGCGTATATTCGAGCAAGGGAATGGAACTCCTAGCAAGCAAAAGATCAAAGAGATTACCTCTGAACTGGGTCAACATGGGCAAATTTCTGAATCAAATGTCTATAATTGGTTCCAAAACAGGCGTGCTCGATCAAAGAGGAAGCAGCAGGGTACAGCGCCTACGTATGGTGAATCAGAATTGGAGACAGAAGTCGAGTCGCCGAAAGATAAGAAGACAAAACCTGTGGATTTTCAAACTCCTCAAACCTCTGCACCTTTGGGGGAGGACATGGGCTTCCAGAGTCCTGAGATGCACTATGAACTGCATTTCCTGGATCCAAATACCAACAAAGCTGATACTTTGTTTCCATCAAATGGAAGTTCAAAAACCGCAAGAACTTTTAGTCAGATGTCTTCTTATGAAGGTATGCCGTAAGGGTTTCTTGCCACTTATTCATATGATTTATTAATCATCTTTTTGCCTGACATAACAAATTTCTTTCTAGTCGTATTATTTGGAGGATTCAGAAAAGTATTGAACTTTCTCATTTGTCAAGTATTTAACTTGCTGATAGGTGAATACACACAAAAACTTGAATTAAAAGTTCAGTTAGAATCCTGTTTTGCCAGGAAAGTCCTAGGTCCTACAGGGTATATACTTTCATAATCACCCTCTTTGTAACTGTTGTGTGTTAATTTTGATATAACTATGATGACAAGCATGTGCAAGAAAAATGAGTTGCTAACTTGCTACCTCTAAATACGTTAGGAAGATCCTCAATTGATACTGTTTTTTCCTTTGGATATCCATCTCTGTCACACCTCCACACAGAGAATATAGAATTGAGTATCTGCTTTTCTTTGTGAAATTGATTACAGCAGGGAATGAACAGCTGACAGGAAAGATCGAGACACCAGAAAACTATAGTCTTTACTCGCAAGCAGAAGGATGCATGGCCGAACAACCCTGAATTCTTTTACAGTTGACACAAAAGTGTTCTTGTCTTATTACGAATATGCTGGACTTCTAGCTTTCATGTGACTAGTCCATTATTGAAGGAAACGGTGATGATGATGTTGATGTCGATGATGAAGGTGGCAACTTGTGTGCTCGTATCTGGTCGTGATTCGTGGATTGTCGGAGTGTTCAGTCTTGAGTAATGTATTTTGGTTGGATTGTATTTGGAGATGAGCTTTGAGAGTTGATTAGTTGATTGAGCCATTGACAGTGTTGTAGTTTTGTTAAATGGCCCCTCTAAGGAGAGAAGGCCATTTGTAAAAGAACGCGTTTGTATGGAAAAGAGATTGCAAAGGCGATCCTCAACCTCATTCCTTTTATTGTTGGTTTACTTACAATTACCAATAGATAATTAGTTAAGCCAACATTTAAGTGGGAACGTTGATCATTACCCTTCGCTCTAAAACTCCTTTATTTCGGTTGAGGAACTCTTATCGAGATAAAACGAGACGAAGTTTATGGAAAGGATTAAATAGATCCCCCCCACCCGCACTTCCGTTTAGGTTGAAACGGTTGGGGTGAAAGACTTGTCGGAAACGGTTGGGTTGGTCCATCCAAGAAAGACATGGGAGTGAACGTTAATATATTTTAATATATTAAATATTAATTTGAACCCTTCATATTAATATATTTTTTCCTATTTATATTTTAGATATCTAATATATTAAATATTAATTTAAATCCTTCCCATTCCCATTAAATATATTTTTTTTTTTACGTGGTCAGGAATTAATGTAAACAAAAGAGCAACCTCAATCAACTCAATTCATGAACCAAGAGAAAGAACAACAAATATTATCTAAAATAAACATATTTTCCACACAGTTCATATGACAGAGCTCGATATCATGTAAGTGAATAATATGTATTAAAGAAATTCCAAGAACCTGAGAAAGAGTGAGACCTTATAATTCAGGGATTGTATTCCCGACCTTAACCGCTCTTATACCAAAACTTGGACTCAATTTCACCTCCACAAGTCACTTCCTCAGCTGTCGATCGGGCCATATCAAATGCATCGGTGCTATCCGTGGGATCGATCAGCTACTGCCCTGAATTCCCCAGTAATCGCTCAACAGCAGCATGGATATTTCCTGCAGTGGCAATCAGTGCTCGCATGTTCTCCTGTCTGTCAATGAATCCCATTTCTTGCAGCTGTGTGAGCTGCGTAGAATACAGTTCTTCCGGTGGTACTGTCCAATGTTAGTGCATTAGGAGCGAAGTAAATGAATATAAAACAACTGAACACAAGCAAAGAGAAGGCAGGAGATTCAACCATCGGATCTGTTGGGCACAGCTAAGCTACCAGCGCCAAGCCCACCAAACATGTTCATCAGCGTCTCCAACCCCAAATTGTTCGCAGCCCCTATCATTAAGAGAATAATATTAAATCAATGCAAGAATGCTAATCTGTTCGCCCACCCCACAAATAAAGAGAAGCTATGCTGACTTAAGAGGTTCATTATTATGTGCATTGTGGTAAGACTAATTCAAATCAAACTAGATCATAAACTACTCTTCCACCAGTACCACTTCTGCCTCTAAGTCACCATAAACATCAAAAGCCACCAACTAAATTTCTGTTTCACGTGACGAAGCTTCTGGAATGTATATATCTGACTTCATCACTTAAAGAGCGCCATAAAATGTTGAGCTATTCAACAAATTCAAAAAGTACTATGAAAAATGCACAAAGAGAATAACTCTTCCAAACTGCCGAACGTAAGGGTAACACAACAAAAATGCTTGTCGGCCTATTTATAGAGTTGATTACCTGTGCCTCCACCAGTCTGACCTTGGTTCCTACAAAATTCAATAAAATAAGATAAGTATTTGCCAGAATTAGGGAGAAATAAAAAACAGTTAGTGTACCAAATATCAGAGATACAAAGAATCCAGTCATTACACAGTATAAATAATTTGATTAGACAACGGTACATACCATAATGCCAGTCAACAAAGTTAATGAAATGAACATTACTTGAGCAAAGAATTCATAAGTTTCTAAATACCAAGGTAACTTATTGTGGCTATTATCATTTACGAATAGAGGGGAGATTGAGATGCTGACGGTCAAACAATTCAGTAAGCAATCAATTATAGTCCTAAACAGATTTCCATGTCTATGTTGATGCACTTGCTATATATAAATATATGAGCTTTCTCAATAAGCTAGTTCTGCATAATATAGAATCTCAAGCTATGAACTACAAAGATTTTGTACTGATGATTACACAGAAATAACAGATCAAAACGCATCAAAGGAAATGGGGCACAACCCAGGACAACAACACTCCAACAGAAAGGTGATATCAAGGGAAAAAAAAAAAAAAAAAAAAAAAAAAAAAAAAAAAA